TCTATTTTTATATACACAATGTTAAGTAAGCTTCTAAGTAATTCCAACAGGTGTTTATTTTTATATACACACTTACTTAACACACCTGTTGAAATTACTTAAAAGCTTTATTTTTATGTAATTAACAGTACTATTTTCAACTCAAATCTAAATCAGCCTATTGTAACATTAATGTTTCAGAAGTATGAGTTATTAGAGATGCAAAGTATACAGATGACAATACATACAAGACTAACATATGTATATTACAGATAAATATACCTGTTACAGAAAATTAAACCAATCTGCATCATAGCTCAACAACACACTATTAAAATATATAACTATGTACCTTACAGCTTGTATATACACTGCTTGCTCTTAGGAAGAAGTCGTTTATAATCATGCAAAAAGAAAATTTAAATTTAATGATTGGTGTTCAATAACACTGATTTATCTATTAAGTTAGTATTATTACACTGTTTTCCAAATAGTCCATTGATATATGTTATGTTTTACTGTAAGAGCTGAATATTATTACTTTCTGAGTCTAAACTACATGAAAGTAGATACCAGTTCAAATTAGTTTACTTTTAACCCAACTCCCCTAGATAATATTTGTCTCAATCACAAAAGGTGTCATATAGAAGGAATACAACAGTATGGAATAATGCTAGCAAGTACACGTACTTGTTGAAATTACACTACAAGTACTTATACATAATTATATGACACAAATTTACCAGTACAACATGTTGACAGTTGTCACTGGACACACACAGATGTCATAAAACAGATAAAATGTAAAGTGTTTAAAATCTTTATTAGGAAAAAGCTTACTTTGGATTTCGTTATTCTTTTCAATAAAATGCATCATTGAAACAATATATTATTAGTGTCATCTGTATCCTTGAGCCTCATATAAAATGTGTTCCAAAATAAAAGGCTCTAGAAATTAGAATATTTGGCTAGCTAATATAACCAATTCTCTATAATTTGATAGCCCTAACTATCATATTTTCAGCTATATTAAGTGACAAAGAAAAACAAATAAACACAAGTATTCCACAACCCTCAAGTTACAAGAAATGACATCAATGCTTTCCAATTGCTGAATTATTTACAAGACAACTTAAACACTGTGATTAAATCTGAAAAACCCTGCTCCAACACAATTTTGTAAATTTATAAACAATAAAATCTAAAAATTAAATCCAATTAAAACCAACATTTATTCTATTTTGTTAATAATCACAGACATCCATGGGCAACAAGTTACCATACCACACTACTGAAAGTGATTTTTATGGAACGTTTACATTTAATTATCTGATTTAGGCTTGCTGTCCTGTAAGTACATTATTTGTCTATTTTTAAATGTTGTAAAATAATACTTTAAATACAAGAACAGGTTAAGATCCCCGAAATTGTTTTCTCTTGAAAAAAAAGAGGAGTTAATGAAAATCTGATTGAGATGTACAAGATGAATTGATAGTGTTAATGCATCATCTTTCTTGTAGTTAACGGTGATAATCGTATGACTAGGAGACACAGATACAAATTTTAGCATGGTATGATGAGTCACCTTCAGCTAAGACAGTTTTTTCTAACAGGGCCGTTGGCATTTGGATAAGTTGCCTTCAGATGTAGTGGATGCAGTTAATTAACGGGAGTTTTAGGAAAAGTTTGATAAATAATTAAATAATAAAGGCTGGCTTTGAATGGTTTTTTTTATTTCAAAGTTTAGTTTAGTGGATGGAATGGCCTAGATGAACCAACAAGCCCCGTGTCCTTAAATTATTTATATGCAATATATATAACTTCATAATATCTCAATTACTTCTTATATTTAATTAATTTATAAGAATAATTAAACATTTTCATCTTCACACTCAGCAACTCTATTTTGACCAGAATGAAAAATAAGGTTGCCAGCTACGTTTGTTAATGTAGATTTCATTATGTTCTATTCTTTCCAACTATGTTGTTAAGTCAACCTTTTATGATGATTTCACATCTAACTTTTACCACTAACATTGTCATAAGGCCAAATGCACAATTACATTTACTGTAATACACATTTTTTTTCATTGAATAAAGTTTTCCAAATCTCTTAACTAAAATTAAAACTTTCATATAATTTAAAGAGCAAAATTATTTTCATACGATTAATTAAAACAAGTATCAAGGAATAGCATCTGGACATTTATCTAGAAATTCTATAGAATATATTAAGTATTTTACAGATTACACAAGTAAACTCACACACATATTAGTAAAACATAATTTTGCCATACCACAACTCAAATAATATTGCACTGATGTATGCATTACAGTAATAACTACAGTTGGAAATAACTAAAAGGCAACATACAATAAAAAGTAGCAGCCCCAAGCCGTGCCTGCTCCCCAGCAATTTGGTGTAACTCCACGATACAAGCCTCGGATACCTTCTTCTCGAAAAATAGACGAGACTGCATTAACCAGTCCATTATACTGAGGTCGTACAGCCAAATGTCCATCATTCACTGGATGAAAACAAAAAAAACGATAGTTGGTACATATATTCTGATTCTACAAGCCCTAGACTATGTACGTTTATATAGAATTTTATGAATGTTTGTTTCACCAATCCTAATCATGCTTAGATATTGCACACATTCAGTTGTATTAGATCAAATTAAATAAATCTAATATTATTATCATAGGTTACTTCCCAAAACCCTAACAGTGTGTATTATTATAATTCTAAGCTGATTGAAAGAGTTTTATATAGTTGTCAAACTTTAAATTCCAACAACTGAACAAGTTAAATTTTTTTCTCAACTTAAAACATGAAACAATTTCCTTAATCAAAAAAGGAGCTAAAAAATGCTATATTCATTTATATGAAAGTTAAATTTTAAGTAATTATTGCTTTTGGATGTTATCTCAGAATTAAACATTTTTTACCACTACGTTATATACTATATAATGATAAGTTATAACATCTAAAACTCCATACTTACCGGCAAATCTAATCTTTAATAAATCAAGCGGATGAAGAACTAAAGTTGATGTAACACCACCGCTAACTCCAGCAAGAAGGTGTTCATATCTCACATGGCTAAAAAGACCGAAGAAACTTGTTCGTCTGCCATTTCCATTCCTAGATTGATGGCCCATTGAAACTCACGTGAAGAAACTATCCACTCGTTTTTTCTCAAAATATAATTTACACTTCTAAGATAAGCATTATAATCTTACTATCCTCTTATAATTTTTCAATTTTAAGAAAATACGAACTTCTTTCATTTTTTTAGTTTTACTTTTAGCCTAGTTTTCAGCTTTCCAAAGCTATTACGCAACGCCTGCACCTTCGTACAGAATATAGGCCTAACCTATACACTGTTTGAAGCAAGACTGATAGGGGGATTGGCTAAAAGAAAATGTGACGTATTTAAGATAAAGCTGTAAGAAAATAACAAAAAAAAGCTGTCGTACGTTTTTTTTAGCGAAAAGCTTCACAATGGGATATCTGTGCTGTCCACTACGAGGAATCGTACTTCGGGTTTTAGCTTTGTAAGTCCATAACTTAACGCTGACCCAACGGTGGACAATAAAAGTGCAATATGTTTTAAAACAAATCTTCATTGTACTTATCACCAAGAATCTTATACAAGATATAGTGATAATGGCCTTAGCTATATATATATTTATAATGAAATAAATAGCTTCAATATTATTATTTACATTAATTGTTAATAGGCGATTAAAATCAGTACTATAAAACAATAATGAACTTAATATAAAATAAACATAAATAAGTTTTTTGCAAAATCTATTGTAAATCCCAGTCGTCACCTTAAAGTCATAACGGATATTGTCTGTGGTAATAGCTCCCAAATACGTTGGGGATATCCCATCTATCAGATAAAATCCAAACGCTGATGTTAAACTAACCAGTAGTCATGGAAAACCAGTTAAGGGTATGGAGTTGAATGCTTACACCCACAACTTCTCAACTCCTAATGCCTTTCACTGTCTACAGCCAGTTGTGGAAAGCAGTTACACTTAAAAGTTCTAATAATTCCTAAAGTAGAAATGAAATGGAACCACCCTAATATTTCTACTATGTGTCACTCCCAACTTCCGCCCTTACAAAAGAAATGAAATAATAAAAGATCTTAAATAAAATGATCTTAAACAGAACTACAAGCCCTACTTTAATATTGCATATGTAGTTCATATTCCTCCCTTATGAACTATGTTCTTTGGCACTTTTACGTGCCTCACATCTGCTATAAATACATATGTCAATGACCAATCTGCTAGAGTACGATGTATTGAAAACCCCAGCTGTACCCAAGGTGTTTACGTTCTTTTACCATCTTGTCATAACACGTTTTCTGTCATCAAGCAGACTTCACTAGTTGCAAACGTGTGTACATCATTTAATGCACATCTTAACCAATCCATGTATTCCTGTAGACATTGTTGGATGTTTGCTCATGAAAGAGGACAATATATCACTTTACACAACTCAGAGAGCAATTAGCTGTTTAATTAGCTCCCTGATCCACATGGATCTCTTCCAATACTCCAAATTATGCTATCCAGTGCTCCATCATCACATATGCTACATCTGCTGATTTATCAACTAATGTATAATCAACCCTTGGCCGACTTTGTGAAGCATCTAATGACCTCTATTAGTCTCAACATCATGAAATTCTACGAATAGACAGGGTCTCGCCATGTAGTAAGATAGCCCATCAACAATTTTGTGTTACAGGCCCGATTGATACACTATGACAAAGTAATGTTACGCATTTGCTTGTTTGATAATTTCCGGTAGAAATTCTTTCCGCGGAACTTCAGTGATACAAGTCCTTTCTTGATTAAACCAGTTTATTCTTTCTCGATACGATTTTTTGTAATACACGGAATTTCCACGGGCACTTTAAACTTAACAACCTTTCTAACACACGCTCTAAATCACAGTGATTCACACACTTTACTTACGGTGCCTACTGTTCGCTTGACTCAATTATCTATTTCTTTAATCGCGCTGGTTTTTCTCGCCAGGCTTATATACTAAACCCCCCCCCCCCACGTGGCACAGCGGTATGTCTGCGGACTTTCAACGCTAGAAACTGGGTTTCGATACCCGTGGTGGGCAGAGCACAGATAGCCTATTGTATAGCTTTGTGCATAAATTCAAAACAAACAACAAATATATACTAAAAAGAGGGCGTCTCGAATGCACTCGGGCCTTCATAATCATTCGAGAAATTTCACGCAAGCTACCAGCGCCAAACGCACCAGCAGCGTCACGTGACTTCCGCTGTCGTAACAGTAATATTATTGAAGTGTTGTTGTCCAATGCACTATCATCCCTTTCCGATTTTTAAAGTTACCACATATGTAGTGGCAATAGTATTTAATGACGTACTGAGTCTTCCTGGTTTAAATTTCAAGCCTACTATTATTTTTTTCACTGGAATACCTCTCTCAGGTTCACAGCCACAGACATTGTCCAAACACTAAAATATTTTTGACGTAGACTAGGCATCTCTCCCATTGCAGTCCCTTCGGTCTAAGCTCCATTAGCCTCTTGATAGTAGTGGACACATCATGCGGGGCAAATGGCATGATACCGAACATATACAAGCCATTTCTTGTGCTAAAGACAGTTTTAATTCTGCCTCTAGTCATTCAGCTCAACTTGCCAGTATCTAGAGATCAAATTTAAAATGTTGAAAGAATGGTCATCTTCTAACACATCCAGATATTCATCTGTTCATGATATGGAAAAATCGTCAACACGAGTTACCACATTCACCCATTTAAAATCAACACAGCATCTTGACATACTTTTCATCTTCATGACATTTACTGCTTCAGGGAAGCCAGCAAAGAAGTTGCATTATTGGACATGTGTCAACTGTACCTGTGTTTTGGTGAGTCACTGTTATTCAACCCAATTAGCTATGCAGCTCCAAAAAGCTGAATTATAGCGTGTGTTATAAAAGTAGTTAATTTAAAGTGACTGTGGAAATTCTGTGTATTGCAAAGTTGTATCGAGAAAGAAAAAACTAGTTTTAATTAAGAAAGGACTTGTATCGCTGAAGTTTCTCGGAAAGAATTTCTACGGGAATTACAAACGAACAGAGACGTAACAATATATACACACACTGCACTACTTTTATACGCGTAATTGTTTGTTTACGATAAGGCTACTAAGAAGATCCCTTGTGGTTCTAAATTTTTAAACTGTTGACAAGAGGAAAGACGATCTTTCGAAAGAGCCATCGTCAACTCTTCACTTTCACATTGTAACAACCCCATAACTAAAAGGGACGAGCATGTTCGGCGACTGTTTTCGATCTTGTGACCCCCAGATTGTGAGTCGGGTCCCCCTAACCACCAGGCCATTGTAGGCCCCCTAGTATATTTTGTTCTTCAAATTGTAAAAGCTGTTACAACGTATATATGTGAACACCTTACGTAGGACCAATCAATAAGGAATGTTACAAAGAGTCTGCAGTGCTATCTAGTGAGAGACTGAGAAATCCTGGCCACTAAAAAAAGGAAATTAAACAGATAAACAGTTACTAATCATATTAATATCTACCAATATTTGACTGTAGCGTAAAACAACGAGGCTTTATTGATTATTATTTTTTGTGAGCGTTTTCGGATGAGTTTAGGAACGTTTTATAGGGTTACAACAGCTATATTAACAACACCAATTTTTTGTTGTAAGACTATTTAATCCATAGAACCTAGCGGTATTGAAACGTTTCCTATTTATTGATGTTGGCTATGTTTTCTCATTGTATATTCATTCAAGCAACCACAAAAGCAAATGTCTGAACTGCAAGGTTCAATAATAGCTCTTGGCTGTTTAAGGACTAAGATGGCAGAGCTAGAGCCATCTGCCGCAATGAATTTTCACGTTCCTGTTTAGAAAGCTCGTGTTTACTCTCGCGCCATCATGTAAGAACTAATTAAACGGTGTTGGGTGAGCAAACAACAACATACCTAGCGTTGTAAGCGAAATTTGGATCAGCTGCCGTAAAGTTAAATTGTTTGGATGATTGGCCCAATTGACGCCTGGTTAGCGAGGGACTGGCCTTGAATTTTATCAACACATAAACCATTATAGCAAGAGGATTTAGAACAATGAAGAGGTGTACAGAAATAGATAAAGTTATCAGTCTAACCATTACTTTAATTAGACATTCAAGAAAGTGTGAAAAGAAGTTCTAGCGTCATCTACACGTTAATGTCATGTTTATTAAATAAAACTTCTAACGTACTTAGTTAATGTCCATGTTTATTAAATAAAACTTCTAACGTACTTAGTTAATGTCCATGTTTATTAAATAAAACTTCTAACGTACTTAGTTAATGTCCATGTTTATTAAATAAAACTTTTAACGTACTTTGTTAATATCCATGTTTATTAAATAAAACTTCTGACGTACTTTGTTAATATCCATGTTTATTAAATAAAACTTTTAACGTACTTTGTTAATATCCATGTTCATTAAAAAAAAGCTTTTAACGTACTTAGTTAATGTCCATGTTCATTAAATAAAACTTCTAACGTACTTTGTTAATATCCATGTTTATTAAATAAAACTTCTAACGTACTTCGTTAATGTCCATGTTTATTAAATTTATAAGCATAACTAATTTATTTATTTTTCCCGTAGAGAATATACTTACATATTTCAAGAGAACAATGGTCTGTCTTCTGTTGAGACATGTTGTATATTTTGTACATTAAAATATTAATATATTTATAGATTGTTGTTGGTCAATTTAATACTATATTAGAATGATATGCTTTCAAACACAAGTAACAATAACTTTAGAATCTTTTCCCCCAAAACATTTAAATTGGCAGTAGAAGTTTTCATATAAAATTCGTGTGTAAAAGTTAAATTTGAAAACTTTGAAGTAAAAGACTCGATTTCAGAAAACAATGGGTCATACTTTGAAACACCACTAAGTCTGCACTTGATGACGTCAGGGATTTTATGTCATACGTTGCACATGTTGAAACTAAGTTAATGCGATAGGTGAGGGTTGAACAACTTTCTTAACAGTTGAGTCAGTTTTAGGTTCTGAATTTTGACTTAGGCGTTACTGACCCGGAAAAAGAACACTTCAACTAAAGTGTGTGTAAATGGGTGTGGTCAAATTAAAATTCATTACAAATTGAATGGAATAATTATTTGTATTTTAAGAGCATTTAATACGTTTGCGCAAGATATCAAGCAACATTTGTACTATGTGCCACGACATATTTTCTAACTGGCAAGTGGGCTACAAGTTTTTTTTTGCTCACTTGTCACATGCGACACACGTGTCGTGGATTGGTCATCTCTGTGATAGAATAT